TTGCCTTCAGCCAATCAGTGAATGGGGTTGCATTTTCAATTAGATCTGGAATCAGACTATCTCACTCCTTACGTGGTACAAGTGGCATGTGGCTACTCATATTTAAATTCAAGTTAATAAAAAAAATAAAACAGCCGGAACCAGTTTGGCTCCGTGGATAGAGAGTCAGCCTGCTGACTAAAAGATCCCGGGTTTGATTCCAGTCAAGGGCATGTACCTTGGTTGCGGGCACATCCCCAGTAGGGGGTGTGCAAGAGGCAACTGATCGATGATTCTTTCTCATCGATGATTCTAACTCTCTATCCCTCTCTCTTCCTCTATGTAAAAAATCAATAAAATATATTTAAAAATAAAAAAAATAAAAATAAAACAGAGCAAAAAGGCGAGGCTCAAGAGAGAACTCTTTGAAAAATTACAGCAAAAGTTACATTTAAAAATTCAGTTCCTTACTCACACCAGCCACATTCAGGTGCTTCTGGGCCACCTGGCTGGCTGGTGGCTGGGGCACTGCCATCAGTGAGGAGGCTTTCTTAGCCAGGCCGCCCAGCCTCTCACTGTGACCACCTAGCTCAGCCGCGGACAGCTCTTGCCTGGATGGTGTAATAGCCTCTCAGTGGATCTGGCTTCTTCAGGTTTTACAACACGACAGCCAGGGTCATCCTTTTACAGCAAGGCTCTCAGAGTTGTCCAGAGGCCCCAACATGTGTCTCTCAGAAAAGAAGTCCTCGGGTTAGCAATTAAGGCCTTCCTCGCTCCGGTCCCTCGCCTGTCTGACCTCTCCCAGCCTTGCAGCATGCCCTGCTGCCTGCTGCTCCCTCTGAGGCTTCTGCCCAGGCTGTGCCCTCTGCCCAGAATGCTCCTCCCTGAGATCCTCCTGGGTCCTCCCTCTCCCCCTTCACCTCTATGGCAACATGGCCTCCTCAGTGAGGCTGCTGGGACTGCTCCACTCTAACACTGCCCCTTCCAGCACCCCTCCCAGCGTCCTGCTCTCCCATGCCACCTTGCTTTCCTTTTTGTGTCCATCGCCCTTATCTCCTTTCATCACACTGGATGCATTTCCTAGTTTGTTATATGTATGTCTTATCTGACAGGAGTCTTTGTCCAGTTACTCACACTGGAGCTTGGGCCTAACTGAGTGGTGCTTTAGAGCTGGAATGGGCCCTGGACATCATTCCTGGATGGAGCAGTTGGGGGTCAGGGAGGGGGTGTTATCACTGGACTCACGATAGTTCCAGGGAAGAGCTTGGACTAGGAGCTAGCCTGGCCCTAGGTGTCTTCAAGGGGCAGGCCTCAGGACAATGAACTCTCTTCCCTTTCCTCTGTCACAACCGGAGAGACACTGACAAACCACAGAGACCTAATGGGGACAACAACCAAACTCTAATGCCAGCGATGGCTGCCAGTTTCATCCTTCTAGGATGCAGCCTGGCCCTGCCTCTTGGGGGCTGGCAGGGAGTGAGGAGCAGAGTAGAGGCCCCAGGTAATGGCTATTCACACACGTCATTCCTACCCTGACATGTCACAAACACAGAGGCTCTTGGAAAACTGGAAACACACATGGTTGCTAGATTACATTTTTCCCTAAAGTAACATCAGTCTTGTTTAAGAAAAAAGTCATGGTTTCATCATGTTATCGCTCAATTAGTATTGGAGGAAAAAGTTGGTTAATGCAAAAAAGAATACTGCTTTAGTGCGTTATTAAAATATTAGAGGCCCAGTGCATGAAACTCATGCACTTGGGAGGGTGTCCCTCAGTCTGGTCTGCGCCCATCTTGCAGTCTGGTTAGACCTGGGGATTGGGCCTAAGTCAGCAGTCAGACATAACGTAGGGAGAGGCTCCCCCACCACTGCTGCACTCGCCAGCCATTGAGCCTGGTTCAGGGTTTCTGGATGAGTGGTGCACCCCATGTGGAGACACACTGACCACTAGAGGACAGCTTTTGCATTGAGTATCATAGCGACAGGTTATTCTGCTGTTCGACCAATTTGCATATTGGCCTTTTATCATATAGGATTCCTGACAATCCAGAATAGATTAGAAGAAAGGCAGAGCCCAGACCACATTTTGTGTTGGGGCGCATCTGTCCCTCTGTGTGTACAGAAATGCCATCTGAACATACATATTTCTAAGTGCCTCGGGATGATGGCTTTTCTGCTGCCAATTCTGCTTCTAATAGGAATGGCGTGAGGTAGTTTCACACTCATAAAGAGACCTGCTCCCAATGGCGTGGCTGCAGGTCCAGGCTGGATTCTATCCAGGCTCACTGGGTGATTGGACTGGCCAAAGTATGCGATTAAGAACAAACTTATCTTTATAGTCACTCCTTCATTACCAAGATAACTCAATTGGAGACTTTTTGGGAGATGCCAGCTCTGGAAATAAAATCCTTACTGCACTGCAATGTCACGAAGATTAGACCAGAAAACAAATTGATGTCCGCAGACACTCTTCTGTACGTGCCAGAAAATTAGATCTCAGGAGAGACGAGCTGAGAAGTGACATCTCGGGGCGGGAAGGAGGTAGAGCACAGGGAAAGCACTCCCGGGGCTTCCCAGACAGAGGAGTCCCGGTGTCCGCCTGCTCGCCTGTGTCACCTGGGATGGCGCTCTTTGCTGCTTTCACTAACTTGCCCCACGCAGCTCCCAAACCATTATTTCCACAGCCCAGTCACTGTCACTGTCACTGCCACCATGGGCAGAGTACAAGCACTTTCTGGGTCCCTTGTCCTAAGTGAGCAACAGGAGACTGGTAAGGTGACTCACACAAATCCCGCCATGGACAGCTGGATTTCCTGTGAGGGAACCCTGTGAGGATGTGAAACAGTTCATACTTGGCTGTTGCTGGTGCACAGAATGCCGTTCCCAATGCCCCCCTCCCAGGTGTGACTGGGCTTGTCCATCACCGGAGCTGTAGTCAGGCCTGCGCTAACAGAACCTCTGACCACACAGCCCTGTCCCAGGCGGCCGTGAGTCAGCACCACCTGCTCTGCATCTGGTTCACTTCTTTATGGGTCCTCTTCTCTCCAGTGCCTGTTAGAGTTGCTGTTCCAAACCTCATGGCTTATTTAACTGATCTCGTTACAGGCTTTCAAGTATCAGAGGGTACGAAAAAGATCAACCTTGGCAACAAAAGAATAAATGTTTGCACAATTTAGAATATTTCTCCCAGCCTCTGAAAGGACAGGAGCCTTTAGGAAAGCACGCAGTTGCTGACCCTGTATAACCCTCAGAGGTACTGACAGAGGTCAGGCTCGGGGACCCAGTCTCCCCGTTGCTCACACGCACACACAGCCTGGCCTGCCAGCTGTCACGGTGCTGTGGTCAGCATGTTCAGGAACTGTGGAGGGGTGGGTACTATGTGAGCATTTCTCCTCTAGGCACACAAGCAGAATACTGGATCAAGGACTGCAGTCCCCCCCTATGCCCCCCCCCCCCCTGGGGTGGGGTGGGGACTCAGGGTGTTGGGCCTCTGCCCTGTCAGAACCCAAGCTCCCCGTCTTCCAGGCACATGTATGGGTTGGGTCCCCAAAGTCCGTCTGGAAATTATAAAAACACATTTTAGGATGTGAGCTTGTTCAGCTGAGGTTGTAAATTCAAACACTTATTCCTCCCTTTATTCCCTTATTCATTCACTCAGTCATCCACCCATGTAACAGATGCTTATTGAGTAGCTTCCCTGTGCTATGTCATGTGCCGGGTCCTAGAGCTCAGTACAGAGATTTCAATAGCAAGAATGCTGTCTATTAAGGATGACAAGTCTACAGATTATGGTTCCAGGGGAGCCTCATGGCTCACATTCCCGAAGGACCCCAGGAACACTTCCTGGGTATGGAGAGATGCATGTTTTCACCTTCTATTTAATAAGCACTAATGGAACCGGGTGCTGTGGTGGGAGCTGGAAATACAAAGCTCGCTCTTGCTTCAAACGCTCCCTCCCTGCAGTCAATGAACCAGAGTTCTGAGTTCCAAGTCGTGGTGGTGACTCTTAGAAGATGGGCAGGATTTCCAATGGGCAGAGCCTGTGGGAGCTGAGGAGGAAGGGGATGCCCAAGAGGAGAGGTATGTGTTTGGGGTAGAGGGATGTTGGGTGAGGAGTGTCTGCCAGCACACATGGGGGAGGCACACTGAATAATTCTCTCTTTCTTGGAACTGCCCAAACCATGTTGCCACTATTACCCCCTATTGTTGCTAAACTACTTCCCCATCCAACCCTGGGTCTCTTTTGGGGTTTTAATGTGGGACGTGGAGAGCCAAGGCCATAGAGCAGGAAGGTCCGGGAAGGTCTTTCCTTATGTCCTTCCTCCCACCCTTAACTGCTGGGTGCCACCAAAGACCCTAAAGTGGGCCAGCCCCAGGGCAGGCTGGGAAATAGTGAGCAGGCTGGATGTGGCTGACACTAGTAAGTGGGAGGGGCTATAGACGGAAATACCAAGTACCCAGAAGAAGGTTCGAGGAGTCCCTGAGCAGTGAGCCCCTCCCCAGGCCTCTGTGTGCCACCTCAGGGTGATGGAGAGCCACAGCACAAATGACAGAGATTCAAGAAATGCAGGTCTTACTGTCCCTGACAAGACTTTGGACCACAACCAGTCCAGGCCTCAGCTTATTCATCCCTAAAAGGAGTCTAATCAGACCTGCATTACCTGACTCATACGAATAAGGCAGAGGTTGGAGGAACTGAGGGGACAGTGGGAAAATGCCATCCAGTCCTTCTAAACGGTGCTCCTATGCCCGGGAGAGCAATGCCTGCTCCCGTGGGGGCAGAGTCCCCAACCCTCACACGTCTGGGTGCAGATGGGTGAAAGCACTTTGGATCCTACCCAAGAGCCCGTGACGTTACTTAACAATTCAGGGGCGAAAGGGAGCCTTGGGCCTGCGTTTTTAGTTACTGAACCAACAACAAATCCGACTTAACATTAACTCTTCACAAAAGTGTTTCAGGAACTCACTCTTCACAACCAGGACCAACGGGTGGAGGCTGCCCGCCTGTTGGCCTCCCTCACCTGGGTGTCCGCGGGGGGGTCTTCACCCCGCCAGTCTGGAAGCAGCTCCCTGGCCAGTGTGTTCTCAGCACATACTGACGAGCAGGTCTGAGGCCATGGCTCGGCTTCATTCTGCTTTTGGGAATGGATTTTTCCTAAACGAGGAAATGTATATGAAACTACAGTCAGCTTTCTTCAACTCTATGGAAAGGCAGGGAGGGGATGGGGGAGATGTTCAGAAATAATAAGAAAGGCCCCAATGTGGTGAAAGCTGCACTTTCCAGCGTTCTGCTCCTGGCAAGTGTGTCCTAACAGGCACGTCTGAATAGCTCTGTCTGTCCACAGAGAATGTCCCCCTTGGAGACCAAAGGCAAACTGTCCTGGGACCACTTTGCCATGAAATGCTGATAAGCTCTGCATGTTAAGAAAGGGTTCAGGGGGCAAACTGGGAAACTGGTTATTTATCAAATAGTATTTTTTTTTTTTTTCATCAAATGTCTAACAGGTTTCCATTTTGGAGCGCTTCTCAGAGCCTTCATTGTGCTAACGGGGACAGTCATAGCTTCCAAAGGGAGGTTTACATAAATAGCCTTTCCCAAACATATTTGAGCAGGGAACGCTGATTTTCCTAGGATACCTGTGAAGGTCATTTTAAATGATGTGGTTTGGGAAACTTCACTCAGAGACCCTTAAAAATCCTGCAGGGCCAGACTCCCCAAGCCTAGAATTGCACATGCATCCACTGAGCTGTTGTTAATTTAACTGCGGATTCTGATTCAGTAGGTTTGGGGCGAGGCCTGAGATTCTGCATCTCTGACAAGTTCCTGGATGCTGCTGCTGAGGTTGGCCATGGATCCCATCCTGAGGATCGAGGATGTAATTAGCAGAGGTTAAGGAAAGGACGTCCTCTATTTTCCATAAGAGCAGATCAACCTGCAGAGTGTAATCCCTTTTGGGTCAGAAAGGGAGGCTGCAATGACCCTCGGGCCTCAGTGGTGATCAAGGGGACAGGCTGGGATGGCCTCTCACCAGCGTTTTGCTTGTGAGCAGAAGCGAAGTAACTGTATTTCCATCAACACTTGATTAACAGCATTCAGCTGTCACTGATGATTGAGATTTGTACAGTTACTTCCATTTGTGATATGGAGATAAGAGAAAAACCAATTCAAATGCATGCATTAAGGAAGGAGTGATTGCTCTCAAGCACTCTCCTTTCATGGCAGCTAGTTCTCCATTCCTTAATTTTTAAAATGAGTCACCAATGGCCACAGACAAAAGAGAGCCCCTGGAAAACTGGCCGAAGAACCACGCTGACAGTATCATTTGGCGGACAGGAAGCTCCAGGGTGGGCAACATCAAAGCATCCCGCCCCGTGTCGACCTCACGCTTGGCCATATACTGCTTTTTTACAACTCTTCATGGCAATTTAATTAAGACACAACCCTTAGGAAACCGGTGTGCTGAATACTTGCAGTAAGATCAGAACAATCTCTTTCCTATCCCCTTCTTAGGAAGCAATTCAAGGCTTGCAGTTTCTATTCAATTTGTTATAATGACAGTGCTTAATCATGGCGTCTACTCGGCAGCCTGCTGCCGAAATGAGGTCACACATGTGACTATTCAGGCATAGAGCACAATCTATAACTAAGATTTCGCCCCTGAATCTCTGGAGGCGGTGTCATTAATTAACAATGCAGGCATTTAAAAAATAATATGCATTACAGCTTTTTAAAATGTAGCCTGGGCTTGAAATAAGCAGACGTTTGCGATGAAACATTCATGGCAGCTAGTATTCCAAGGAGAAGGGAGAACCCAGCCATGGGAATAGCGCAATCACATTGATTCAAAGATGTTTAATTAAAAGTCTTCTTTTCTAATTTTTCAGGAGCCTCTAATATAATCTCTACTTGTAGCTCCTTTCTCAGCATCGAATAACAAAGGCAAGTAAGTCTTCAGAGTTCTATTTCATATGCTTATATATGTCACAAGTGCAACATGGTCCATACAAGTTAAAAAATTATGCAGTGTCCTCTTGAGCTGCAATAAATATTTTTAATCTTGAGGGGCCAATAAAAAAACTGTGACCCTTAGCCTGGTCTTATCTTTAATCATGAAAGATTGTTTCAAATGACGGCAGCCAAAAAGATGGTACTTATCCGTGGGAAGGCTCATGCTGCTCTACTGCAGTGAATGTGCAATCTACTGCTGATGCATCCAGCTAAGATTTTATAGTTCCACATATACACACATTTGAACAAGATAGGAATATATCAGAAGACATATGTTTCTGGTTAGAGGGCAAACAGCATTTCAGTTAAATTTATGTCGAGTCTAAATTATCTATAATCAGAGTTAAGTTTTAAAAGATAAAAGCCCACGCCTGTGTTGTGTGTGTTTTTTCTTAATCAATTTACATATCCATATCCCTGTGCTTACGTGCTTGCTTCCTTTATCTGTGTGTACAACTCCTTACCAGGATGCTAAGGGCAGACAATGCTTACTGCTTGTCTTCTTGCTTTTTGGTGGAGGACATGCAGGGCTTTTCATGGGACCACATGTCCACCGGGCAGAGGTCACTCACTGACTTCCTGGCAGAGACTTTTCTGCAGTGTGTTTTCCTGCATGTGCATGATCTGGGAGGAAAAACAATCTAATGTGGAAGGTAATAGGCACTTTACCTGAGGAGGCTGGTTTGGGGAGACGACTCTGCAGAGGTCGCGTCCCCCTGGCGGTCATGGTGGGGTCGGACGTGGAGTGAACGATGGCGTTGTCTGCAAAGTCCTGGCTGTCGGCGGAGGAAGGCACTTCTCGTTCAAGGGTCTGGGCTCTGGTAGAAGGGGCTGCACAAAGGACCGGCTGGAGGCACAGGTCAGGCTCCGTGTCCGCGGAGGGATCTGCCTGGCACATGTACCGTCCGGCTGAGCGAGTCCCGGAGTCTGGGAGTGGGAAAGTCCCGATCCCACTGTCGAGCGTCCTCATCTGGCAGTTGGACTCTGGAGACAGGAACAGAGTGAGGGTCAGAGGCGGCTCACAAAAAGGAGGAAGGGTTCTGGCACTGGGTGTCGTCTTGAGGAAAGAGGACCCCTAGAAGGAGGAAGCACTATTCCAGGTGAAGTAAATTTCCAGGGAGTGGCATGAAACAGACATTTAATTGAACATGAACATGTTTCCTTAACATAACATGAGGTAAGAAGGCCTCCGTTTCTGGCAGCAAGAGCCACATGTGCATATGCCCTGATAACTCTCCAGAGTTATAATAGGAAAAGAACAGTGATTAGAGACAAAAAATATTATTTTTGATCCCCCTTCTTTAATTGGGGATCATATGACTTCAACCAACCAATCAAGTGGACTTTATTAACTGAAATAAAAGTAATGAGCATCCATCACAAACTGAGGTCCCAACAAAGGTCACTGTGCACCCCCTGGCATGGTTCATCAGCCATTCATTTGGCTGTTAACTGAGCCTGTGGCCTCTCAATCTGACTGTGAGGACCAGTGATTCACAGGCTCTAAGGTCATCCTGGAGTTACCGTGGTAACATCACTCACCATGTGGACTTCACTGGACCCATTGCCATTTGTAGTCTTCCTGAGAAGACCACTTTCTGTCTTTCACTCACACCTTATGCCATGACAAACTCACTAGTATCTTTTGTGACTTCTGTCATTCCCAGGGACCCCACTATTCCCTAAAACAAATTAAGTTGATTTCATCATAGGTGAGTGACATATTCTGCTAATGAATGAATTCTGCATCTTCACAGATACATTATCCGAAATAATTATTACATATTTAATTTCTAAGATGGTGGTGTGGATTATCCAACCCAATGAGACAGCATCCAAGATCTGGTTGTCAGCCCACAGGTTTCCTGTTTATACGATAAGCTTAGGGTGAAACATCCTTAGTAAGATTTGTGTTGCCATCTTAAACATTTAGGACTGGGAATAGGCACAATGCAGTGCTGTGTTCAGCATGGTAGGGAATGTAACAGAATACAATGTAATCTTCGCATCAAGAGGCTCAAAGGCTAACATTCCGTGGTGCTTTATGGAGCAGTGGCTTGGGTTCCATAACTGTGTGAACCCCTACAGAACATCATGAATCTCTCAGGTGTCAGGTTCCTTATAGGGCTGCTGTGAGACTAAAAATGTGTTCACCATTGACTTTCTTGAACTCAGGATGCTATCTAGCATAGCTGAAAGAATAAAAAAAAAAGAATGTTATATACAAAATGCTTAGTATATTTATTAGTATATATCGGATAGGTTAATAGTTTATCTTTAACTAACTACATTTCTTATACAATCTCATTTGATGCTCATCAATTAGTATCTGAACTCCAGAATCCACCTATTCCCCACCCCAAAACCTCTTTGCTCTGAGTAGAATTCTGCCAGTGTCCTAATACTAAAGGAAAAGTAAAGAGTTGGCATTTATAGATTCTAGTGGGTTTGGTGCTTGATTTTGGACGTACCAGGATGATGAGGTCCATGTCAGAAGAGAGTCTTCAGTCTCCATAGGGATATTTGTAGGAAGATGCAGCTAGCCTTTCCCCAGTGAGGTGCCATTTAGCTATCTCGCGCACTGTCACACCTGGGCTGGCCATGGGCTGCGGAGCCCTGACTCACAGGGCCATGGTCTGAGTGTTCCCCAGGATTACAAGGGCTAAGTTTGAGACGCTCTCACTTCAGGGGCTTCAAATGGTCAGCTTTACTCTCAGCCAGCTTTACAGATGATTCACTATCTCTCCATTCATCTTCTCAGTTAAGAAGACTTCACGGTTACAGGATGGCCTTGTGGAGAAAGGACCGGCTGTTTGCACGGGGAAGTGTTGCCAGAGGAGTTGGAAAAGAAAGACCCTGCTTTGCAGAACCCAGTGTCCTTTATTTTAGCCTAGATACACAGGGCTCAGACTTAGTATATCACATGCTGTACTTGGGCAATTCTAAATGTCTGGACTATTTTAGTTTCAGATAGAAATGGATCTTCATCAGAATGGGCCCAGCCTCTGAGGAAGGGAATAAAAAATTCATGGGATATAGCAGCTCAGGTCTTAGTCCCTGTATGCACAGACTGCCTGCCATATAATAATTTACTCCCTGCATCTTTTGGATTATCTACCCTTGAACCAAAGAATGCTCAGCATGGAGGATGCTGGTGATTCTTTCTTTAGTGAAGACAGATGACCAAGTCTGGCTGCTTATTATAGCTACCAGGAGTTCACTGTTTTCTTTGTATCATCTCTTCATCTTCACAACCCTAAAGGTAAGAGCTATTACCGCCATTCACAAATGAGGAACCGTGGCTCAGAAGGTTAACTTGCCCAAGGCCAACTGTTATAAATAAAGCTCTTGAACCTGACCATGTGCTTAACCATGAAGCTATACTGATTTCCTCCCCCACACCCCAAAGCACAGATAAATCCAGAAGTGAGGTCCACTGAATAAGCAGCCATCGAGGCAGCCTGGTGAGAGGAAGGCTCACAAGAATGGCCCTGCTCCTGGGCAAGATGCCCAGCCTCTCCCCTGAAACTGGGGCAGGCCCCCGGATCCATGCAGGCCCCCGGATCCATGCTGGCCCCTCATCCTGAGGCTGAGGTCCCCTGTCCACATTCCCAGGTTCTGGGTAGTTGCTGCCTGGCACAGGATGTCTACACATCCTGACTGATCCATCCCTGAGAACCACCGCTGCCCAAGAGGTTGCCTCTGCCCTCTCAGACCTCATCTGTAGAGTTCTGAGCCGGCTTTTCCTGGAATTCTCTTACCACCAGGGATAATGCTTTCCTGGCTTTGTCTAAGAACTGTAAGAATTCTCCCCCCATCAGGCTTTTTATGGCTGAGAGAGCATTTAATGCAGCTGACTCAAAAAGCAACGTGAGCTTCTTGGAGGCCTTTTCAGTGATTTTCTGACCATAGCCCATGGCCCGGCCTGTGACACAAGACAGGAAATAGGGCAAGGAGGGCCTGGGGCAGGAGAAGTGATGATGTCAGTCTACGTCGGCTGCCCTTCTGGCATCTGTCCCTTTAAATTATTTTCCTTTCCCTATAGTCTTGTCCTACCAGATACTATAAACCAGGACTTCTGGTATTCCTGACGTCTCTGGTTCTCTGAGAATTGTGTGCACTGACATTAAATTCAGAAACCACCTACTATTAAAGCCATTTCTATTTCTAAAAATTACAGATATGCCAAATGTAGTGAATGAGAAGGACTCCTGGGTAAGTACCTATGAAATGAGGTATGGACAGTCAGGGACTCAGGCGCTACTAGTATAAGCTAAGTCTCACCCTCGAGCGGGTTTCTCCAGAGTGCGTAAACCTGTGGAAATGGAGTTTATGTCAGAAATGCTGACACTTTCTTTATGTGGTTTCTTTAAGGCGCTGTAAGTTTCTCCCAGTTCATAAAAACACTGGGAGCCTGAAAAAGCATTAGGGATTGCACTTTGGAAGCCAGCTTTGCCCTCAGAATTACAAGAACTCACAAAATAATTAAATGGCTGTGATAGGAACAAAGTTCAAAGGGCCAAGCCAGCCTTGCATCCCCAATGAGTTGGCTCAGTCTTGATCTTGACAAGTTTTGCACATTTGTGGCTGTGAGAAAACAGCTGCCAATAGGACCTTGCTAATGAGTTCAAGGGTCAGGCTGCCGGATGGACCTGCAGGTTTTATTCTTCCAAGGTCACCAATTACATTTCTGACACCAGTCCCCTCTCTCACCTTCTTCCCATTGTCTTCTTTGCCTTCTTTCTCTCTCTCCAGGTAGGTTCTCTCCCTTACCGCCAACAAACCCCAGGCATGAGATGGCTTACAGCAGAGATTCCTACTCCTTTAAAGTCAGAGCTCAGACAGAAAACAGGCATTTCCCCGAGGAAAACACCAGCTGCCCCGGGGGCATGGCCGCCTCAGTGCCTCAGCTCAGCAGCTCAGCAGCTCAGCAGCTCAGCACCGCTAGGTCCATCAGGGCATGTGAGCAGCAGATGCTGGGACTCTTACAGCGTGGACTCCGGGTCTTCTTTACTCACACCTGGAAGGCAGTGCCAAGGAGATGGAGACTTCTTTGGTCACTTGGCAGCTGGTATAGGAATCTGCAGGCCCTCCTTTTTTGGGGAAGACCATTGAGAATGCTTGGGATAGGAATATCTTCTGGCATCAGAACTTTGAGGGAGGTTATTGTGCACTAGAGGGAGGGGTGCAGTCAAGGGGTGAGCAGCCAAGAAGGGTGAGGGTCTACCTGGGTGGTGGCAGAGAAGAACTTTTGGAGAGAAATTTCCACCAGGGATTTTTCAAGTGTGAACTTAGGGTGCATAATACAAAATCCTCACTCGCTGGCCAATGAGCCCCTTCTGCTTTGTACAGGTGCCTCAGCAGGTGGCTTTAGTTTTTTCACCTGAAAATTAGGGGTGCTTTGAGAACTAGACATCATGCTATGTTTATTAAAATGTGTAATAACACAGCACGATGCATCCAGCATGTACATAACTGTTATCTAGAAGATGCCACTAATTCTTGAAATCAGTGTTATTAGACTGTGAGCATCCTGGGTGCAGACTGAATTTTATTTATCTCTTCAATATTCCCATCAGCCCATTCCTCATTCTGTGTTGCCTTTACTCCACAGTAGGCAATTAATTATATGCTGACAGAGCTGATAATAATGGTAGGCTGACATGGTATCTGCTACCTTCGCTATCACCAGTGCTCAGCACAGCACCTGACGCATAGTCTGTGCTCACGGAATATAATGAAAGAATAGGTGGATAAAGAGCAGCTCTAATCTTTAGAAAGTTCTTCCTGAAATTAAATTGAATATGAACCTTTCCTTTTGAAACCCCAATCTGCTGCTTTTTGTTCTAACTCCAGCTACCAGAGAAAACAGCTGACTTCCTCCTTCTGTGTACTCCTTCTTACATACAGCCAGACGTTATTAATTCAGATAGCCAGAGGAATAAGATCATTCAGAATTACTGAATATTTTAAAGACCGATTTC